CTAGCTCTCAATCTTTACCATTACTCAAATTTATATGAAGAAGGGAATTAGTGTCTAGATATACACTATCATCTATATGAATGTGATATTATTTTGTAAATTTTTGGTGGCACTTTGTACCCAAAAAAATGGTTTTACTTCTATAGTAATAATCACCTTTTTCCTTAGTTGAATCTTGTTTTATGCCAACTAGTTTGAGAATTAAGGAGAAATTGATATTGATATATTAATATATATTGACTCATTCTTCTTTTTTTATTCTCTCTATCCCAATTTATTTGGCGTGGATTTCAAGAGTCAAACCTATTTAATTTGACTATGAATTCGAATATGAAATCTTTAGATGTTTAGAAAAAAATTCTATATATCTAAAAACTATATAAAAAGTATTATAAGTGATAATAATTTATAATTCAAAATATTTGAATGACATACGAAAAACTACGATTAAAGAAAATATTCCTTTTTAAATCTCAAAATTGCTATCTGGGCCATTCAAAGTTTTTGACCCACAGTATCATCAACAACAACTATACAACTGTGGCCAAGCATTCACAATGTTGGCCAACTACCATTGCTCCTGCTTTGTTAACTCACAGATTTTTCTGCGCAAAGGGCACATGAACATGAAGACACCCATGAAGGGTGACAACATCATTGGTCCGAAGTTGATCAATTCTAGCAGGTAAGGTGACCACCTGAATTATTTTTTATGTCAGCCAACTTACAAATGGAGAACCTTTTGATTGTCGTAGACTTCTTATAGTGTTGTGATCAACAAATAGAAATGTTTACCAAGAAATAAGGGCATTAGAGCTTTGAGATGGTGTAAAAAGACGAAAACAAATTGAAAATGCATTTGATGGAAACAAGTAGCATGATTGGTATTATACCTCATCTCGTAAAAGCCCAGGCACCAGTGCATAGACCTCAAAGGAATCATTCTGTTTGCATAAAATCATTACAAATCACATGAGAGAAATAGAATGCATAATCTAGAGGTTCTTAATTCTTTTAGTCTGAGAGGAACTTACTGTTTCACGAACATTGATTTTCACCCAATCAGTGAGGGGGGGGGGGGTCCAACATCAACAACTTGGACATCCAACCTGGCAGATGGAAAGCAATTTATCTTTACATCAGAAATGGAGGAACCTGTCACGACCCAAGCCTAGGGCCTAGACGTGACCGGCGAATGGGGAACCCGAAGGAACCCCAAACAAGCCTCATAGCGTATCATTACACATCCTTGGTCGC